AAAAAAAAAAAAGGAAACTTCTGATATAAGTATGTAATTATGTAATTTGGTAGGTTAATCAAATTTGTTACCTTCCTACTCAATTAATTGCCTTATTAGATCTTTTGGAGTATAACTTCTTTGTATAAACTGTAATTTTAGGTCAGTTCATAGACTTGTTTTATAAAATAGAAGTGATAGTTTGCTGGTTCCCACCCTAGCTCTAGAAGGTAAATTCTAGTGTTAGAAAGTTAGATCAGACGGTATGGGAGAGTATTGCTTCTGTCTTTTGTTTCTCCATTTTCTTCAAAATGGAATGGCATTTATTCTATCTGATACTTGAATAAAAAAGATATGTGGAATAGAATCACCACTGACTCAAAATGCTATAGAGTATACATAATATTAATGAGAATTTTTTTCTGTTGTAAACCACTGAGTTTACAAATATATTTATTATAACAGTAAGATGTAACATGTCCACTCCTAATTTTAGACTCATCTTTCACATTCCTCTTAATTTGATCTCCATTTTAATTTTTATTGAGTTTCATATTTCTCTTAGTATTACTTCCAAACATGATTGACTTATTTGTAATGATTGTTGTTAATTTATGCCTATAAGCATCAGATTATAAGGAATCAGAGTTCAGAAATTTTATTTATTTTGCCTATGATGTATCTGAAGCATTAAAAGCAAAATATGCTCTTAATAAATAGGATGAATAACTCATGCTTTCATAAAGCATGTGCAAGTAAATATGAAGGCAGAAGATAAAATTGAACGTAGCTAATGTTATGTTGCAAAAGTACCTCATATTCAAAATAAAGAAGTATATAATAAGATCCTTTGTTAATAAATAGGCTTTTTAAAAATGCAAATGCAATTAAATATGGGATGATAACTTTTTCACAAATGGTGGTAGGAAAATTTAAGATTGTAGGAAAGAGAGAGAGGAGAAAAGAGAGGCAAGGGTAGAGATGGATGAAGGGAGAGAAGAGAGAGCAAAAGAAAGGAAAGAGATAAGGAAATAAAAAGAAAAGTAAACAAAGGAAAATAAATACTTGAACTAATCCTCACAACATATACCAAAAAACACCTGAAATGGATTACAAAATTAAATGTAAAACATAAAATTATAAAACTTTTAGAGAAACATGGGGGGAATGTTTCAGAATCTATTGCACAAGGTAAAGTGCTTTTAAACTTAATACTGAAAATATTACCCAAAAGGGGAAAATTGATAAATTGGATGCCACCAACAAAAAAGACATCTGTTCTACCAAAATCCTACTGAGGATAAAAAAAACAAGATTCTGACTGGGAAGAATATTTGCAAGCCACATATCCCAAAAAAAAAAAGACTGGCACCTAGATTAGATAAAGAACTCTCAAGACGTAACAAAAAATAAAAACTTGAATAGAAAATGAATAAAAGTCAAATACAGATATTTCATTGAAGATTATATATATTCCATTGCCATATATTATATATATATGGCAAATAGGCATATAAAATGATGGTCATATTCCCATCAGCCAAATCCAAGTTAATATCACACTGGGATAGCTTTGCACACATATCGAAAAGTTAATATGTTATATATATATATAAAATACTGGGAGAATATAGCAGAATTGGATAACTCATAAACTACTGCTGGGAATACAAAATTGTCAGACCACTTTGGAAAACTATTTGGTGTTTCTTACAAAACTAAACACTCAACTATTATATAATTCAGTGATTGTGCTCTTGGGCATATATCCCAGAAAAGTGAAATCCATGTTCAAAGAAGAACATTCATGGCAGTTTTATTCGTAATAGCCATAATGATAGCCAAAATAGCCACAATATAAACAAAAACAACTCTCAGATATCCTTCTAGAGATGAATGCTTAAACAATCCAGTGTTACAACCATACTATGGAAAACTAATTAACAATTAAAAAGTACAATCTATTAATATAAACAGCAACTTAGATGAATCTTAATATAATTATAAAGAGATAGAAAAGATAATTATAAAAAGAGAATATATATATATATATATATACCCCTGTATCATACTGTATAGTCTTATTTATATGACAGTCCTGAAATGACAAAATTATTCAACTGAAGAACAATTAGAGGTCGCCAATAATCAAAAATAGATTGAGATAGGGAGATGGAAGTGTTTGTGGTTATGAAAGCATAGCAAAAGAGATCCTTGTGATAGAATGGTCTTGTGCTTTGAATATAGTGATAGAGATGTAAACATGAACATAATAAAATTATATGAAAGTAAATGTACACACCTGAATACATAAGGACATATACATAAAATTAATGGATTGTACCAATTGTCAATTTCTGATTGTAATATTATACTGTAGTGGCCATTGGGGGAATCTGGCTAAATAGTATCAGGTAGCTCTGAATTACTTCTTATACTGTATGTGAAACTACAATCACCACAAAATAAAAAGCTCAATTACATATTCTTTCAATGCAGTTGTCATAATTAGTCAATTCTATTTTTACATATTTACTCACAAGAAAAGACAGTCAATCTGTACACAAATGTTCATAGTAGTTAATTTGTAATACTAAAATTCTGGAATAGTTCAGATGGCCATCAATGGAATGAACAAATTGTGTTCCATGAACATTTCTATATGGCAATAACAAACCAAACTCCTGGCAAACACAGTAACATGCATGGATTTCAAAGTTATATTGAGTGAAGGAAAGTGAATACAAAAGAGCAATTATTGTACAGCTTCATAAATATGAATTTCTTTTATAGGAAATTCTGGTCAACACTGGCAGAAAATAGTTCAGATGGGATTTAATTACTTCTGGTTGGAAGGCTACTTTTTGAGTAGTGATGAAAATGACAAGATGCTATTTAACTAGAGATAAGAAATAACTAAGAGATAAAAATAATTGAAAGGGCCCTCTGTGGTGGCACAGTAGGTTAAAGCACAGCACTGCAAGCAAGCCACAGCTCTTCAGTGTGAGTTCGACCCCCTGCCCCAGAGGCGATCCACATGGCGAGGCAGACCTCTCCTGACTCACCCGCTGCTCCCTTCAGCATGTACTTCGTCTCTCTGCCTGTTCTGCACCCCACTCTGTCTCTGGTGAATCCTTTTACTCCCTGCACCTCTGGCCTGTACCCTAGTTCTTTATGCATAAATTAAAAAAATAAAAATAATTGAGAGATGAAAAAGAATTGAGAATGTGAGAAAAGATCTTAATTAAATATGTTCTAAAAAGCAACAACAAAAAATATACACCCACCACATGAGACCCAGCTCAGTGTGTTCCAACACTCATTAGATCAGAATAACTGGAATGAAGGAAACTACATAAATGAAAAGTAAGAAGCAAAGTCATGTATGTTAAGTGCTAGGTAGGTGAGGTAATGGGGAGACACAGGTATTCTATGTAGAAAGTTTAGCCACCGGAGAATAGCATAGCTTAGTTATTAATAAGATTAATATTATTAATCTATTAGTGGACAATATACTATATTCCCATACATACTATATGGGAATTTATATTTTCTTTCTTTCAAAATGTTAAATTTGAGCTTTTGTTTCTATGGAATGAGTATTTACTGAAGTAACAGGAATTAGCTTATTAAGATGTTCACCTGTAGAGTACATTTAGTCAGGAAAAATAAAATAAACTCTCAACATTTCTATTACCTTAATATTATAGAGATGAGAACATATTTTCTAGCCATCCCCAAAACTAATAAAATAATTACAAAAATTAGTCCCCAAAGCCAAGTAACTGCATCAGGGTTATAAAGCATGCAATGTCCAAAATGATTTGAAATGGTTACACATGACATAAAATTAAGGGAATTTGGTTGGTGCTTTTAAAAATGATTTTTTGTTGTTGTTTAAATGTGAATAAAAATAGCAAGACCCAACAACAGCCGCATGGTGTTATCAAAGAACATAAATCACAAAGCATCTGTTTCACAAAAACAGTATGAACTTAATGCAAGGAAGATGTTTTCCTAATGACTGTGATGCCTGGTAAAAATAGACAGTAAGCTCCCTTTTGGCAGAATTAACAAGCATATATCTAATATGGAGCATAGAAATTATAGTAAATTGAAAATAGGCAAAGAATGAGAAAAGTAGCAATGAGGAGGTGGGGAAAGAAGTCAGTAACAGTTGCTCAGACACAGAACCAAGTATTTACCCCATCAGTAGCAAGGAGACTGGAAGGATGTGATGGAAGAAAACACAGCAAAAATAACTTACTTACCACACATGTCGCAGCAGGGTCCAAAGTCAGATCACAGCAATCCCGAACACCTTTCTGGGAAAAAGAATCAAACTATTGATAACTGTTCCAGAAAATTCTTAACCAGGTAGTATTAGGGAGTTAGTTTATAATTTTAAGTCCTGCCTTAACAGACCTACTTTTATTTTTGTTACTTTTATGAAAAACTTGAATTTCTTCTTTAAAAGATAATCAAAACAAATAGTTTTAGTGTTATTTTAAAAAGAACAGTGTTTATTTGAATAAAGAATTTACTTTTTTTCTTTTTCTTTTATTAACATATTGACATCTGTATAATTGTGTAACTGCCCATCCTGAAAAAAAAAGGCCTATTTCAAACAACTCATATTTTATCTAAAGTGGGGATTTCAATAGCTACTTTATACCAGAGAAGGTAGTTAAGTCAAGCTAAAAATACAAATTTATCAACTGACTGCTTTAAAAATGGTCATGCAAATCTATATTCATTTAACAAATATCGTCTCATATTTTACTTTGGAATCTGAGATACAGGAACAGATAAAACCAAGTTTCAGCCATGGATTTAATAATCTATTGTATAAATACATATTTTAATTTCCTAAATATAGCTTAAGAGTAACTAATCTCACAACATTTTCTAGAACCCTTAGAAGGTGGTGGTTCTTATATACTGCTAAAGCATCTTATACTTATCCTCATAAAACTGAAATTCATCATTTACATGATAAATATTTTTTTAGTGCCCCTTCATATGTACTACACATTATCCTAGGTAGTGGGATATTAAATTCACTGCTTTTATTGAGTCTATCTTCTGTTGCTGGAGAAAAAAAAAAAAAAAGCTGGTCATGAGAGGTATTAAGAAAAAAGAACAAGACAAGAAGACATACAATAATAGAACAGGGATTGCGGTAGTTAACTACATTATGAAAGACCTATGTAAGGAGGTGATATTATCCTTATATTGTGTTAGATTGCCATTATTTCTTTAACAAGTTATACATATTTAGAGGTTTAAAACAACATAGAGTTATGGTGTTACAGTTCTGTAGTGTAGAAGTCTAACATGGGTTTCATTGGACTAAAATCAACTTTCAATAGAGTTGCAGCCTCTGACTGGGGGGGAATTTATTTCCCTGTCATTTTAGATAATACCCACATTTTTTGGCATATGGCCCCCTCTATCTTCAAAGTTAACAATTTAAGTCTTATCACATTAAATCCTCTGATCGTCTTCTATTATTACATCATTTTCTGAAAAACATTTTATCTTCACATCCTTAAGTTTAATCACATCTTCTAAATCGCCTTTGCTATGTATAACATACTCATCCTCAGACTGTGGAGGTGAAGTGCACATTTAAGCCCATCACAGAATAATTGCAGAGGGAATGAGAGAATAAGTGATGATGTCTGTGAATTAAGCAAGGTCCAGGTAAAGTAGGACTCTGAAATCAAGGTAATTTTGCACTTTTTAAATTATATTAGAAGTCACAGAAGGTTTTGGAAGGGACAGTGTTATAATTTGTTAGTTCTGTTTTGTGTGTGGTCACTATTAGGATATTGTAGGTCTGCTAATTCTAAACAACCTGTTCGGTCATCATTTTGCCACCTGTAGTTCTGCATTCCTGTACAAGGTCCGAACTGCCCTTCAGAAACCAGTTAATCATTCATAGGGGCCAAACCTTACAAGGTTCCTTTCAAATCAGTCAAGAGGAGAAAGCTTGATCTCCCTGGGAAGGGTGTGCATCAAGGTATGACTGGAAATACCTTGGGGGAGAGGGGAGGATGGTGACAGATGCATAAACTTACTCATACATCAGGAACACCCGGGGGTGCTGAGGACCGATGTATGACAAGGGGCCCCAGAAATTGGTCAGTGAAAAGCTTGGTTGATAAGATTGAAACTCTGACTGGGGAGCTAGAGGGTGATATCAATTATAATACTAAGTCATTAAGTGATGAGAAGTGCGTTGAGGGCAGACTCACAGCCCCTGATACTATAGGAGATAGTTCACCTTTCCTCTTTTCCTTTTACCTACTTCCTCCTACAATTGATGCTGTGTGACTAGCTGATCAATGAAAAGGCCAGGATCTTGCATTCCAGCAGCATCCTGCATTAGGTAGCTTGCTCCACAACTCCCATTTCTTTATCAGTGTGGTGTTGCTGGATGAACAGACTGAGCAATTTGAGGGTAGAGACCATGTTTGCCCTTTCAACAATATTGCTCTAATATCAGATTTGCTTTCTGACTTACAGTAAGCGCACAGTGACATTACTGGGCCGATTTGTATATGAATAAGATGTATTGCTTATAGTAATCAAGAAATTTTCCTTGCCTTCTTTCCACCTGCATTCTTATGTTCCCAACTCCTCTTTGCCCCTCCCTCCTGCCCTTTCTACCGCTCTATTAGAAATATAGGTGCTGTGAACACATGAAATCAACTGTTAAGTAGAGTGTGACAATGATGGTGTTACAGGGCACCCCAATGTGAACTGGGTTGCCTGTCTGCGGGTCCTCTCCCACAGGCTTAAGATTCAATTGTACTGTGGACACATAGAAAAAGATTTGATAATGGGTTTTTTTACAAGGGGAAAGGAAAATGAACAACCCAGGGAAAGCGTGCAAGAGAAATACAAGTTAACGAGAGTGTCCTACCAGTTCTGCTGACTTGGAACTCCAAGAGCACACTGCAAGCTGATCAAGAGCCAAAGAACCAGCCGGAACCTCCAGGCCAAAAAACCCCGGGAGCACACGTGTCCGGTTTTATCCTAACCTGGCTGCTCAGCTCCACCCTCAGGTCCCAGGGTGCTTCTCATTGGTATTGATGGGATTTGTAGTTCCAATATCTGGCTAGGGGGTGGAGACCATGAAACCTGTATCAGTTACAGCAGGAGCCAAACTTTACAGGATGCCTTTCAAATCAGTCAGGAGCAGAAAGCTTTATCATACTGCAGGAAGGGTATGCTTCAAGCAGTGTAACTGCATATGCCCAAGGGGCTGATGACAGATGCATAAAATTACCCAGAGTCATATATCAGGAGGAATGACAAGAACACCTGGGGGTGTTGAGGAAAGGACCCCAGAGGCTGGTCAGTAAAAAGCTTGGTTGATAAGATTGAAGCCCTGACTGGGAAACTACATGATCTCAATTACAATACTGAGTCATCAAGCAGATGAGAAGTGCCTGGAGGGAAGATGCTATAGGAGATAGTTCTACCTTTCCCCTTTTCCTTTTACCTACTTCCTCCTACAATTGATGCTGTATGACTAGCTGATCAATGAAAAGGCCAGGATCTTGCATTCCAGCAGCATCCTGCATTAGGTAGCCTGCTCCACAACTCCCATTTCTTTATCAGTGTGGTGTTGCTGGATGAACAGACTGAGCAATTTGAGGGTGACAATCTGAGGGGCAGAGACCATGTCTGCCCCTTTCACCAACACTGCTCTAATATCAGATTTGCTTTCTGACTTAGGGTAAGCCCACAGTGAACATTATTTGGCCAATTTATGTATGAATTGTTACAGGGCACCCCAATGTGAATTGGGTTGCCTGTCTGTGGGTCATCACCCTCAAGCTTAAGATTCAATCATACTGTGGGCACACACAAAAAGGTTCAATAATGGATTTATTTACAAGGAGAAAGGTAAAGGAAAATGACGCAGGGAAAAAGAGAGAAATACAAGTTAACAAAAGTGTCCTACCAGTTCTGCTGACTTGGACTCTGAAAACTGATCAAGAGCCAAACGACCAGCTGTGAACCACCAAGCCAAGAGATCCCCAAAGCCCACATGTCCGGTTTTATCCTAACCTGGCTGCTCAGCTCCACCCTCACATCCCAGCGTGCTTCTCCTTGGTATTGATGGGATCTGTAATTCCAGTATCTGGAGTGAGGGCAGAGTCCTGAAAACTGTACCTATTACAGAATGAGATGTTTTGCTTATAGTAATCAAGAAATTTTCCTTGCCTTCTTTCCACCTGTATTCCTATGTTCCCAACCCTTCTTTGTCCCTCCCTCCTTTCCTATCTTCTGTTCTATTAGAAATCCAGATGTTACGAACATATGAAATCAACTGCTTGTTAAGTAGAGAGTTCCATTGATGGCTAGGGGATGAAAGCATATTTGTCTGAAATACGCAATGATTCCTCTTTTTATTTTTTTTTTGATGATTTATGTATTTATGCATACTAACTGGGCCATAGCCAGAGGTGCAGGGGCAGTGAGAAGATTCACCTGAGACAGCGAGGGGAACAGAACAGGCAGGTTGATGAATCCCTCAGATTGCTGAGGGGAGCAGCGGGACAGGTCTTCTGCACCATGAGGGTCACCTCCCTGGCCTGGCATTAAACCAGTGCCGAAGTGGTTGCAGCCAGCTTCCTAGTGCTGTGTTTTAACACCTTGAGCCACCAGGGAGGACCCCACAATGATTCCTCTTGATACATGTCTTGCCAGATTAAAGACTATGATTTGGTCAGTGAAAGTACTAAAGGAAACAGATTTTGGAGATTCTTTGTTATCCTTTTTGATCTAGTTCCATACAAGTTTATAAAACTTGTATGATTGATTCCCTAGGAATTTTCAATTACATCAGATGGTATTATACCCTGTAGCTCTTGTCATAGGAGTCAAGACCACACACCAAATATGAGAACCCAGGTAATACTTAATACCTTCTAATTTCTCAATAAGCCCATTAAAACAGACAAAATCTCCCTATGCATTAAACTCTTATTAATAGCCACTGAATGATTATTACATGCCATTTCATCTAGGCATTATCTGCACACTATTTATCTCCCACATTAACTTAGTGATAGGAATAAATTTCTATTTTACCCAAATGCAGAAAATCACTTATAAAGGTTATCACAGCAGGATATAAAAAGGTGTGTATAATAATAACTGCCAATTATCTTTAAAAGGGAAGAATACGGGCCCTCCCTGGTGTTGCAGCCGGTTAAAGCACTGCACTAAGAAGCTTAAGCCACTTCCACATGAGTTCGATTCCGCCTGCCCCGGAGTGGATCCACATGGCGAGGCAGACCTCTCC